GTTAACGTTCATAATGATCATTTTGGGGGAGTGGTTTTGAAAAGAGGACTGAAGGGACAGAACGTCAGCGTTGCAAACTTAAGAGAATTAGATAGATTAATAAATTAAATTAGATAATAGATTTAGTGACTTTTGGAGCTAGTGCTACTAGCTAAATCCATTGGGAAAGAGCTGGCAACATTTAGCTTTTTTTTAATATAATAACTTGTGTTTTAACGTTAGTCAATAAAAACACTTGAAAATGTGATTTCAAGCAGGCAAAACAAGTGATTTCAGAGTTTTTAAAGTCATCTGCTGAAGTGAGTATTACAACTCTGCTCATCTCACCAACATTCAACACTTATGCTTGTCCAGCTTCGCAAAAGAGAAACTTCAAGTGTTTCTTCCCAAGATGACTCAACCAATTGAACCATTGTTAATCCAAAGTGCAGGCGCCTCTGCAGTCACCATAGTTGGAGATGGATGGCTCACAATTCGACCAATATAGACTCACAGCTGACCTTTCAGAAAGCTTCAAATCATATTGCAATGTTGTGTGACATTCAATGTGTGTGAGGAGAAATTAATCTTGTAGGTGTTTGAGTTTCCACAATTGCAGTGTGACATCATATGTCGGCTATCAGGCTAGTTGAGCAGGTTTGTAAACATAGCAGCTAGTTTACTTTCCTTTTGTTGGCCCAAGTTCATGGTTTTGTTTGCTGATATAAACGGCAGTCTTTAATTCCGGCGGAAACAAACTCAAGTTTATAAAACCCCACTTGGGACTAGATGGTTAAAAGGTTTGAATCCCTATGATGACAAGGAACAATAACCTTCACCCAGGCTTGTATTTCATACTCGTCAGAAGCTCACAGAGGACTGTGGCTAAACTGGGTTTCAAGTATGAATGTGAGCACAGAGATGAGGCAGGGTCATTTTCAAAAAGCCTTGAGGTGCAAACGTACTATAATCATTCAAACCACCTTCTCATCATCCAAGACATGCCCTTGCTACAACAATACTATCGTGCCTCAAGAAAAACAGCAACCAACAGTGTCAGGCTGTTTGTGTGGGAGAGGGAGAGGAAGGGATGGTGTGCCTGCGTCTAGCCCTTTCAGATAGAAGAGTAAAAGTCTCATAAAAGCAAGACAGTATTTTAAAATGTGGAGGCATGGTGGCTGAAGGGAGGTTCTTATCACCGTACAAATCAATCCTCGAAAATTAACATTAATCAATGATGTATTTCATATTTTCACTTTGAAAAATCCATTTGGATTACAGCTTGTTTTGCTCCTTTGAATACAATTTTATGATAAAAAGCACATTTTTATGCCGGAATTCACTTCAGACTGCATTCCTCCCCACTGTACAATTTAAATACAAGTGTTCTTTAGCCCAAGAAAAGTAAACATGATGAATTAATAATTACTCTTAATTAAGATAACACAAGGGAAGGGGAAGTTTGTCTGTCCTGTGAGGAATAATTGAGTTAACGGCCGAATGCTCCCATTGAGGGAAACTCATTTTTCCCAGAGGCAGTTTCATCACTTTATTGGCAGAGACGCAGCGGAGCAGAGATGCTAACCATTACAAGCTGAGGGGAAATCATTGTAATCTCACCACTCCACACCCACAATGCTTTGTTCCACTTTTGTGATGGACTCTAACTCAGAACAGAACCAAACAATGAAACAGATTATTTTACTCGTATACATAACAATGCACCTCTGACGAGAAGAGTTACAAAATCTGTGTCCCTTTATATTTGTGTGTGTTCCATGAAATATGTCAAGGTGTTTTATTTTCGTGCTCGATGAGATTTACAAGAAAGGCATGTAATTAAAACTGATAAATTCAAATTAGGATACATTTAAACGTGTTAAAAAGTGTGGGCTTATCCAGTCTTAATATAAACCTTTTTTCATAGTGTCCATAATGTTAATGTCCAACAAGCTAATATAGGACCAAGCCTGCTGATGCATTGTACAAACGTTTGGTGCACTGTGATCAACAAGGAAGTGTGTTGCAAATTGTACTACACTTTGAGGAAAACCATTTTTAGTAAATTAAAATAAGCTCTGGAACATTTATGCTGACTTACTGACTAGACCAAGGATGTTCAATTAGATTTAAAAAAGGCGTAAAATAAACACTTTAATTATAGCTGCTCTAGTTTTGGACCCTATTTAACAAAGTATTGTAAGACCAGTCTGCAGTTTTAAGTATCTATGACTTCCAATCTGACAGGAAAATGAAGAAGTGTGCATTGAAGAAAAAGGCGTAGCTTAAATGCTTAACTGGTCAGCAACGAGTCAACACTTCATTAGGCTGATGTGTCAACATGGACATGGACGGCCTAACAAGAGCCACTTTCACACCAAGTACTTTGCCGTACTTAGTGCCAGCACTTAGTACCCCTATGGAACTAATACCTCATTCACACCAACGGTGTTTCAGGGCCGGTTCGGAGCTGGAGCTTGAAAAGCACCGGGTTTTCCTCTTCACACCGCAGCGGAGCAGCCTCTTAGCTCCGGAATCCGGTTCATTTCGAGCACCAAAAAATTGTTCCGGCCAGAGCAAAAGCACCACATACGTCACGCTTACGTCGAGGCGGGGGGGGGCAGGGGCGGGATCAACTCCTGAACAACAACAAAAAGCCGGCGTTTTATCCAGTTTGTACACAACGATGGAGAAACTTAACAAGCAGCAGTGGTCCACTGAAGAGACCAGCTACCTACTGGGAATCTGGTCTTCTGAAGAGGCATAGAGGAAGCTGGAGCACAATCGGCCATTGTTGTTGTTGTCGGTGTCAGCTGTGAGGGGTTTCCACGCGGTTCGGCTTTATGAAGCAGGCACGCAAACGGTTAAGTCATGACGCAAACGATGACGCAATGACGCAGCACCAGTCGGACTCTGGGCAGTGTGAAAAGAGCCGGAGCTAAACCGAAGAACCGGTTCTGAACCTGAAAAGCTCTAGCATGGAGCTTGAACCGGAGTTGCGTTAAGTGTGAATAAGGTATAAGAGCCGATCGCGTTTACACCGGAACAAGTTCCCGAGGGAAGATTACGCAAATGAAGCCGCTGAAGTCACTTCTTCTTCTTTGGGTTTACTGGCAGGCCGCAAACAACTTCACGGCATATACTGCCACCCGAAGTCCCCGGCCGGAAGTCCCCAGAGCTGGGGACTGCTGGGACTGCCAGCAGCTTCTACTGAAGCCTTCCGATTAAATCGCCAGAACGCCGACACCTCCTTATCATTCCAATGGTTTTTTTTGTGTTGCCATAAGTTATTCTCTCTCCGTTGGTGCGCGGGGCTAATGCTAAACATTCTAATGCCAGCAAATACAATGGCGGCTTCAAAAAAACGTTTCAGAGCTTTACGGGCCGTGATTTGCAATTCGCCCAGCCAATAGAAATGGGTACTTTTTTTCTCCCCAGGATAGTCCCATCTCTCTAGCAGGCACTAAAAATTGGGGTAAAAGTTCTCTGAACTAAGTTCTCTTTTTTGTGTGAATGCAAAATTCCAGGCACTAACGGAACCAAACGGGAAAAGTACTCCGGTGTGAAAGCGCCTAAGGACTCAGAGCAGCACGCACACAGCGTCCTGCTGATTCAGCCTGGCTCTGTCAGGTGGCTTACATGCCTACTATCATTGCAACAGGTGTGCGTCTGTCCTCTCCACCTCCTGACACGTCCTGTCCTGTCCTGCTGCCAGCGTCACCATAGCTACGCAGACAGCCACTGGTGTCATCAGCCACACACACACACACACACACACACACACACACACACACACACACACACACACACACACACACACACACACACACACACACCGAGATTACTAGGAAACGGGCACTGGCTGTTCCTCATTAAATCAGGGACGATACACAATGTTTCTGCCCTCTGCACAGCGTCATCACATGTTTGATACTGACTCTCTCTCAGTAAACAATGATTCGCTTCTGGAAAATCTGAAATAAGTGATCAAATAAATCTGGCCTCAACCTCCAAATGCACACAAACACCTCTTTCTGAGGCTTTAAATATTCATAATAAGCACTGAAATAAGAAGAGAGCCAAATTGATAAAGTCTGAGGGAGATATGAATAATATAAATACTGTGTGTGTGTGTGTGTGTGTGTGTGTGTGTGTGTGTGTGTGTGTGTGTGTCAATCCCATTTAGGTCATTCTTGGCTCAAACAATGCTTATCCTACTCTTGCTGCAATGGCCAAGAGTGGCAACACTTCAGCTCAAGCTGTGTGAAGACCATCGGACAGACCCCAAAAATAGCTGCAGTGTGTACATTAGGAGAGCAATGAAAGCAAAGTAAGACTTTTTATTTACAAAGTATTAAGTTGTGAGGCTGGGATAATAGCCCAGGGTAAGTGTGCCAACTGTCTCTCCTAGACAGACAGGAGAATAAAAACAACCGCCTACGTTTGGAGAGTTATTCCCTTCTCAGCTACAAAACACAGCTACTGCCTGTGTTGTAACTTATCCAGATGCTTGTAACGCCCCCCTAAACCCAAAGAGCCTATATGATTGAATAGAGGCTAGAGGGAGGGGGCTATGGGTGTGTAAAGAGGCAAGTTACTATCCAATGTTTTGTGTCTTATATTCCTCTTGTCTCTGCCAGTTTTAATTTGCTCACTCACTACCTGTCTAACCCCACATTCTCTCTTTACAACTTTAGACTTAGCAACATAAACTTATAAGAACTTTTTTGTTCCTTAAATACAACCAAACTGTTATAGTGTGCCTATGAAGGGAGAAGCTTCCTCCACAGTGTGGAGCACAACCATACTGCATTAGAATGCAAAAATAATTTTCAATATGAGGGAAAACTTCTAGAAACATTTAGTACCTCAAACAATTTATCAGTGCTATTCCAGGTTAAGAGACTCGTAGAAAAACCGATGTCAACGCTATAATATTGCATTGTTCACAGCCGAACAAAAAGGTTAAAGGAAGTGGACTTATTTCACAAAGCCTATTTTTAAATGTTAAGCCTTCTTACCTGTCCTCATCCACATCCATGGTTATGTGGATGCCAAACAGACTGTTGACAGCAGGATTGGGAAGGTTGAAGCCATCGGTGAGGAAAGGTATTACACCATCTTTCCCTGGCATCACAATGGCGCTGCGCTGAGGGAGTCCATCAGACTTCTGCCTGCTATCTTCTACATGGTTGCTGAAGATGGAGGGAAGGCCTGTTGTTGCTCCTCTGTGGACTCCTTGGGGCTTTACAAGCCCTCCTGTGCTGGGCCCCTGACTTGGAGCTCCCGGAGGGTTGTTGTTGTGGTTTGCATTGGGCACTGTGGAAGGTGCGTTCTGGACACTGTTGTAGGAGGAGGTGAGGACAGAAGGTGCAGGGGCAATGCCTAACCCTCCTGAAGGCTGAGTCTGGCTGACATACTGTTGTTGGCCACTTCCTGTATTGCCTGCTTGCATCAGAAGCCCCTGGGCTGAGGCTGCCTCTCCGCCTGGCACTTGGGCCCCAGCACCAGCAGGGGGGATTAGAGGCGATGATACCTGGCTGGTTAGAGGCCCCATAGAGAGGGCAGATATGGGAAGGTTTTGAGTGCTTGAGACAAAGTGCTGCTGACGATAGTCCTGCTGGCCAGATGAGTGGCCAGGAGGAGGAGTAGAATAGGCAAACTGTTGGGCCTGCATGGCAGGAGGCATAATAGGACCACCATGGTGCACACCATTGAGGCTGTTAGAGAGGAAGGTCTGGGCCTGTTGGGATGCTGGAGGTGGATACCCTGTGGGGTGAAAGGCACTTGCTCCGTTCCCTATCTGAGGAGACAAGCTGTAGCCTTGCTGCAGAGGCTCTGAATGGTTGGAGTGAGCGGGATGGGCAACAGAGTAGCCACTGTCAGAGGTGTTCTCCAAAGCCTGTGCAGAAAAAGTACAGCTAATAACCACAGAGTTACAGGTGGCCCCTAGCCCACTGTCCCTGTCCGTACTGTGATCAAGGGTCACAGCTGGCTTTATGCTATCCACAGTCCGATTTGAATCTGAATCTCTCTCATAGAACTCAGTGCATGTCCACCTGCCCCGTCTGAAGGGCTCACCAGTGCCATGGTCAAGTTTAATGACCCTGAAACGGGAACTGCAGCTGGTTGTGTTCCCAGGAGCTGTGTGAGCCACACTGGCAGCAGGGACTGTACTGGTGACTGGCGGATGGGTGGCTGGGCTCGGAACAAAAGGCTGAGTTGTAGCTGCCACAGGCACACTTCCTGCTACATTATGTGGGGTGACACGACTAGTGCCTATACTTTTATAACAGAGTCCCCCGTTGACAGGACCCGTGGTGGGCGTCTGGCCGTCCGGAGGCTCCCCTAACGTAACGCTGTTTAAGGTTTCCTCTGAAGAGCTCCTCTCACACACCCCAAGGTCTGCCCGACAAACGTCAAATATTTCCGACGACACGTCCTCTGTGCGGGACTCGTCGTCCAGGCTCTCAGTATCGTCCGTGATGCTGCTGGCCGCCACCTGAGCCTGCGTTACACTCGTGATCTGAAAACAACTTTTCTTCTTCGCCGGCATTTTCGACATGTTGACTATTTGTCTCGGGTCTGTCAGCTCCCGGTTAAATAAAGTGCTGGACTAATGTCTTGCGAAGTAACTCACAGTTGAGGGATGTGACACAGACACGTACCGTCACAGGACATTTCCATAACGTTTCTCTTCCTCTCCCTTGTCGGAGAAAAGTGTCACAACCGGGGACAGACCCTGCGAAACTCCCCAAATCTTCCGCGGCGACTGCTGCTCCTACCCCGGCCTCTCTGACACCTCGTCGGCCTCCCCTGTGTCCCGGCAGCGAAGTTGAAAGCAGGCCTTTGTTGAAGTTCTTGTTCAGCAGCTGCCACCGGTACTTTAGTCTGAGGCGGGCCCGGTGTTCTCTCTCAGCTATAAGTGTAGACTAGCAGAGTTAGCTGACGTTAGCTAGTTTCCCCTACTCCGGTACCAGCATGTGCGACATCATGATGTAAACAAATCCATTGTCTGTCCAAAAAGAACATAAACTCCAGCAGGAGACAGAGAAAACGTCTCAAAGTCGCTGAAGTGTCGCCTCTCTCTGTGTGGACAGCTCACTTTTGGCAGCTGCTAGTGGCAGCTAGCTGACAGATAACCACTTTACCACAGCCAGTGGAGAACTAAGCTAATTGGTAGCTAACTGCTGCCTGCCGCTCTTCTAACCCAACCACTCGACAAGATGGCAAGAGCGCAATGCATTCTGGGTATTGAGGTCAAACTAGTTTTCAATTTTCTTAAAAACATGTATTTACAAATCAACGACGGCTCAAACTGTTATCGTATATACATGTTGTGAAATTGTGAGACTGAGAACAATTTTTAAAAATAAAAAGTAGTTTTACGTGGCTTAAAAACTATTCGTCACATTCGTCACTTCCGGTTCACGTCCCACCCACCGGTAGAAGCAAAAAAGAGAACAGATGTTTTTTTTTATTTATATCAAATCTTGTTATAAATTTGGCAAAATGTGAAGAATTTGATAGGTATTAGGAAAAAAAACTATTAAGATGTTTCTCTTCTCCGAATAAGTAAATGGTATCGTCAATAACGTGATAATTATTGGTTAAGAATAGCACATTATTCATGAAGGCTAGATAGAAAAGGAAGAATCTCTCACTTAACCGGTTTATAAACTAATTAAAGAAATATCTTCTAATTAAGTTAAATATCACAAACCAGGTTGTTCAAATAAATTATCAAAATATGCCACAATAGTGAATATGGCAATTTAAACAAAAATAAATCATTTTTATTTATAAATATCAGTTCATATTAATATTGCAGTGTAATACTTTTTATGTTGTTCTTTTTATCTGTTTATATTTTTGGAATACAAACTAATAATCCTAGGAAATCAGTACACTGAATTGTTCTAAATAAAGTTGTTTTTAAAACCAGAATATGAGTTTAAAGGCTATGTCTTATAATTTGGAGATTATATATTTGGATAACCTCACAATTATATATGCAATTTAAAATGTTGTTATATGAGTTATAACAGGAATCGTTCTTGTTTTTGAAGTATTCACTTATCTCCAGGAAACTGCGTATCCTATTCAGACTCTCTTATAGCTTACTTGGCATAATGTTGCTGAACAAATATGACAGTGATGACTATACTCTTGAGGAATGTAATAATTGAAATGATAAAATACTAATATCTTCTTCTCCTAGGTAAACAAATAAAACAAAATAAATATATATACATATATATATGTTTCTGAATCTCGTACACAAAAGAGTTCCATAGAGTTTGAGCTCTCAGCAGAAGCCCAATCAGCTTTTGTCTCGAAATTGGACCTTGGAGGAACCAGCCGTTCTCAATCCAATCTTAATGGTGAAGAGGCCACATAGCAGGTCAATAAATCGAAGATCTACTTAGTAGCAAGGCCATTCACGGCGATTAAAGTGAGTAGTGAAAAATAAAAGCATGTACAACTTTTGGTAGATCAACCATAACTGAACATCTTTTACTTGATCATTAAATTAAAAGTCAGCATCAAATATTACCCTAGACGAATATAAATGAATTATTATCGGCCAGGTCAAAGCAGACTTCTCTTGTGTGAGAGCCTGACAAAACTAGCAATAACCCTAGCAAATCATTGTAAGCCCCCGAAATAACTCAGCCTCACACCTTTGATTATAATAGTAATATCATAACCAAAAACCCTGGTTTAGCACAGACTTGCCCTCTGACAAAGCAGCTAGTAATATAGACAGAATTTCCAGAACAACATAGAATTTTGCTGGTTTCTTTTTCATATCCAGTCACATCCAGGAAACAGGAAATGCCTCTAGCATATGGCCCATGACTATGGTGACCCCCAAGGGTAAAGTATCAAGCACAACACATGCAATCATTAAGATTAATACACTCCTGCATTTTGTTTGATATTGTCAGCATTAACTAATAATGTGGACTGCATTTTCTTGTTCCGTATAGACATAAATGAAATATTATACTAAGAAATGAATGTGTTCTTGAGAAACATATGTGATCTAGTTTTTTTCTAGAGTATATCACCGCAGCTTTGATTGGACTTGCTTCAAAGACTCAAGCAGTATGAATACTAAACCTTCATTCAATTGTTTCATGTGTCATCTACAAGCTAATGGATCTGGTATTCATGTACTCTACTTTATGACTGTGATGACTCATATGGGACTTTAGCATGTAAGGTGTCTTTCAATTATGTGGACTCCCTACCATGAGTAAAATCGATAGTCTTTTTTTATGGAAATGTATTTAAATCATAATATACTAATAATAATAATAATAATAATAATAATAATAATAAATAAATACATTTAAAATACATTGGCACTTTTAGATCATACCTGAATTACCACACACTGTATCAGTGACTTTATTCCTGACGGTGACTCATTAGCAATGAATGATGACTTGAGGTAACTGCCTCAATAAAAGCCATCAAAGGCTTGTGCTCGACAGCAGGACAGATTGTCACAAAGAAAAATAAATAGGTCACAATGTTGTGTTGGCCCATGGTTCGACCAACCTAAGTTTCTTTTTTTTATTTCCTTTTTGAAAGTGTTAAAGAAGGTTTTCTGGCCTGATTTCTACTGAAATACAATGACAATTTAGAACACAAAACAAGTGATTAGCTTTCGGTGCAGATCTTTATTAGTTTAGGAAAGTTTCTCTGTGGAACAGCCTGGCCTTGTGGGTTTGAGATTATGTCATATTAAAGTCATTGATTAAAGTTCATTTGGAGTATTTTGTTGCATTTCCCCCATTTTCTATCAAAAATGAACTGCTTGTTCATTGTGCTTTAATCCAGATTAAATTAGCACAACACAATCCACACTTACCCTCAATGTCACGTTACAGTACTTCAGTTGTGGACAATGGCAGTAAAAGAAAGTAAAGGAGAAAATGAAAACATTTCGGTTCATTTAAGAACAATTATCTTTACCTCATCTCTTAATCTAACAGGTCACCTTCATATTCATGTTTTTCTTTTATATATTGCCGTTTCTTCCCCTCAAAGAAACACATGACTGTTTGAGAAATGGCACTACAAAATAGCTTTGCCGTATTATTCCCCTGACACAAAGACTAATCATTGAATCATAGAGTTACGTAATGTCCGGTTGCCGACTCACAAGGTCTCTCTGACGAAAACAATTCCATGCAAGCCTCAGATAAGATGGAGGAGATGGAAAACAGCTCAATATAGATGTGGGTTGACACACAGTAATAAAATATTTAAATAGATTTTTATTTTCTGCTGCATTTCATAAGGGGAGAAAAAAAGCAGGTACAATTTCGAAATATTATAATTTAATTTAGGGAAACATTATACAACTCTGCAGAAACTGCTGAATTACAGCAGGTTTGAAATGGTTTTCATGATAAGACCGTTTTTCTTGGCAAAACATAACTTCTTACTCATCTCTAAAAGGACCTGGATACAACTTTCTCTGAAAACATTGTTGCAACATCAGCTCCAACAAGCCCTCTATACTTAGACGCCCTCCTTTGGTAGCAGGCTGTGCGTGGGCTTTCCCAGCCCCAGCCAAAGTGTTTGTGTAGCTGGTCGTGTTTATTTGCTCTGGTCTGGGGGTGAAGACTACCAGGCTGTGCTGCGGCGCGTCATGCTCCAGCCTGCTGGGTCTACTTTCAGTGTACCACCGCAGTAACAAGGCAGCCGTTGTACCGCTGTATTTTGGGGCCTAGGGTCCCGGCCAGCGGTCACTCTCAGCAGCCCAACCTGGGAGACCTCTGGCCTTTAGCAAAGCATTGTGGGGTAAGAGTGCACAATCAACAAACAGACTGACCAAACATCACTCTGCACTTGCTAAAAAAAGGGGTTCCCCAGAGAACATTGTACAAAAGGTTGGTTGAGGGCAACTTGACCAGCCTGAAACTGAAATAATGAAATATGCATGTAAACCTTGGGCATGGTTTCAGGTTTATTGGGCTCCTTTTCCAGTGAAACACACATTGGCTTGTTAGTTTTGCCCCGGACCATTTATTTCCCTGTGTCTGCCTGCTAATAAAAGTAAGTGTCAAATAAAGTTTAATTACCTTCATGTGTGTGTGTTTCAAGGAGTGGCTTTGTCCCTTTCTGTCCACATGAGCCTCCTTTTAGCTCAAAATATAAACAGTTCACAGAAAAAGGTCTAAGTTAAAGTCTGGTAAACTTTTGGAGATCAGGGGATGTTATTTTTTCTGTTAAGCTACTCATGTTTATCCTGATATTTTTCACTACCTTATGAATTCCTTCAGAGTGTGGGGATTTACAGTTCAGTTATGACGCAATGTCTTGAAATTATATAATACTGCATGTAATGAGAGTAATGTACAGAAATATAAAGGGGTCTGTCTGTGTGTCTGAACAGGGAGGCAATGTATGTTGCAACACATACCCACAAATATGTTGTAGCATGTTCTTTATACTCTCTCAATTCATATTTCATTTTATTGAAGATGTTTTTATTAACTGACATTAACTGAAATCGTATTTCCCTTTAATCCATCTGGCACTGGAGTTGCTATTGTAGTGAATACTCCCACCTTAACAGGTAGAGAAAATACCTGAGAAGTCATTGTGCCGTTATTGTGAATCATATCTGCTAAACCTGCTTGTGTAATATGTATTCTCTCTAACTGCCTTTGAAGACAAAAACTGATTATGGGAAAATCACAACAAGGAAAATAATGTGGTAAATTGTTAAGTGCATATAATAATGCAGTTGGTGGTTACAGAGTAATGTGCATTTATCGCAGTTCATGGTAAACAATAGAGGCCCATATTATCATGAGAGAAATATTATAATGTTTAAATTCCTCAGCCACCAAAAATCACAAGATACCAAAATCCATGAGTACAAAGCTCAAGTCCTCGGAGTCTTAAACCCCTTACAACACAAATAATAATGCCAATTTCCATGAAGACGTAGGGAAATAAGCACAGAGAAGGTGAATCAACATTCCTAGTTAGGACAGATTTTCGAGCTGTAATCCCAAATGAGACATAGTTCTGATTCATTGGGTAAATCAGCAACAACGGACAAAAACAACAGAAATCTCCCTTATTGAGTAAGCACTTAGCCTGTGTGTGTGCGAGTGTGTGTGTGTTAGGGAAAAAGAGAGAGGATGACTTTGGGTAAGTGTTACTACTCACGGAAACAGTAATGTATGCTTACTCAC